GGGAGGGGGCAGCAGGGTGTACTAGCTGTGTCCAAGTTTTCACTCCACCGGTGTCTCAGGTCTTTCTTTCTCGTCCTTTATCAAGTCAGGGCTTGGTTTTCGCAGACCGGAAGCCAGCTTGAGAAGCTCTTCCTTTCCAGCTGCTTTGAACTGAGGAGACCCTGGGTTACCCTGGTTTCTCTCGACGTGGCACCCACCCTCTTTGCCCTGTGCTTATTGTTGAATGAAGGGGTGGCAGTTGCCATCAGGGCTGCGGCTGAGCCCTGAACAGCATATGGTGGGTGCTGACCCGGGCATGGACAACCTGAGTTTAATTTGCAGGTGACCCTTGAACTGTGTGGGTCCCCACTGCTCAGGCCTGCACGCAGCATTGCCAGAGAGGCCCTGTGACACACATTGTGCCTGCTGGGGTGGTCCATGCCTCCAGTTGCTGTTGCAGTTCACACGGTGGTGGTTGGCATCGCATGGCATTTGAAGGGCACACTGGTTTGTTCCAGGGCCCCTGTGATTCTTTTGGGAGTGAATTTGGAATGCTCCTGGGAAGGGAGAAACTGCCACCCCAGGAGGTGGTGGCATGGATCTGCTCACTCGGTTTCTGTTCATTTCCAGGTGTAAGAAGATGGTTCCAGCATCAAAGCGGTTCACCATACACAGATCATCCAATGTTCTCACGCTGTCTCTGAAACGCTTTGCAAATTTTACTGGTGGGAAAATTGCCAAGGTGGGTAGCAGTAGCTAGGGTCCACGCATTAAGGACCTTTTCTGCTGAGCCTCTCCACATCCTCCAACTTGGACACTGTGCATGGCTGTAAACGGCACCAGGCAGGAGCTTTGGGAATGGGGAGGCCTGGTACAGACTGGAGCCCCTGGTTTGGCGAGTGTGTTTCTCCCAGGCTTTCTGATGGTCAGATTGTCTTTCACATGGTCATGCAGAGTGAGCGCTGGTTTGATGTGAAATCCGGAGGCCTTGTCTGCCTGCTTGCCTGCCTCTCTTTCCTTCAAGTCTGCTCTTTGCTACTCGCTCCGCTTCACGGTGGTGGTGGCGGTCGAGAGCGACCCCAGGGACAGTAGAAGGGAACACTGCCATCTTACAGTTGGCATGCCCATTGTTGCAGCCACTGGGTCAATCCAGTGACTTGTGGGCCTTTCTCTTTTCTTGAAAAAGGAGAAGGAGCCGTGAGCTACATTCTCAGAACACATACCAATTTATCCACTTCGTAAGCCTGGGCTCCTCTAGGAACTGGTCCCTGTCAAAGCTTGTCCAAAGACTGAGATGAAGTGTCTGAATCCTTGCTTCTTGGGAACACTCCGGCTGTACTTTCTCCCAGACAGAGGCGGGGGTCTATTCAGTGTCCTTCTCCAGCACCGTCCTTCAGAGGCGTCCATGCTGATCGTAGTACTCTGAATGTCGCCATGTTATCCCCACCTCGTAAAGACTGAAGGTGCTTGGAAAGCAGCATGCAGTAGAAATAAAACAGTCTATTCCTGAATTATTAAAAATCATGATGCCTCAAGTCCAGCATTGTCCTCCTCCTCCTCCTGTCTTCTGGGGTGGATTTGCAGAACACACTTGGATGTATCTCTCCAGTTGCTAAGAGGGAAAAATAGCACCCAGCGGGGCTGCACCAAATACTCCTCGCCTCGGGGAGAGGCCAGACGGCATGTCCTTTGGACCATGGCAGAGGCTTGGGTTTCCGGTGGCTGGGCCTGCTAGCAGAGCAGTGGCAACTGATTTGGGCCTCCAGAGATGATGCTCCTTTGCCTCTTTCCACCCTGTCTAGGAGGTGAAATACCCTGAGTATCTTGATATCCGACCGTACATGTCGCAACCAAACGGAGAACCGATTATCTACGTCCTGTACGCAGTCCTGGTGCACACCGGCTTCAACTGCCACGCTGGCCACTACTTCTGCTACATAAAAGTAAGCCTCGCGGGGCCTGCTGCCGGCTCTCTGGGACCCACGCTGCAGAGCAGCGGCCTTCTGGGGCCAGGCTTCTGCCTGTATTCCTCACGTTCTTCTTGTCTAATGAGTTCTAACCTGTCTTACTGGCTGTTGTTTCCAGGCTAGCAATGGCCTCTGGTACCAAATGAACGACTCCATCGTCTCCACCAGTGACATTAGATCGGTTCTCAGTCAACAAGCTTACGTTCTCTTTTATATCAGGTACGTCTTGGAAACAGATTTTCTGTTACATCAGAAATGATTTTTATATGTGTATACAGTACACACATACTAAGGAGCTTCAAAGAGTTCATGGAAAAGTCCATCAGGATTGAGCATGCCATGGGTTAAGCACCAGGCTGGGAACTGCCAGCTCTGTGGTTCAAGCCCACCAACCACCCTGGGAGAAAGATGAGGCTGGTTGTGCCTGTAAAGATTGACAGTCTCAAACCCCCATGCAGCCGTCCCGCTCACTCTGTCCTGTGGGGTCGCTGGGAGGCGGGACTGACTTGGAGGCGTGATGGCAGTCGGGCTAAAATAGCAGCTCGATCAGTAGCTTTGCTGCGCAAGCACCTGGTGAGCAGGCTAAGGGAGCTGACTCTGCTGTGGCATTTGCCATGGCCCCCAGCTCCTTGGCACACGTGGGGGTACAGCTTAGCTGTAGGCAGCAACCAAGGTGGACCTTGGGGTGGGGCTGATGAGGGGGTCTCTGAGCAGCAGCCTCTCCCCTCTCCGAGCAGGGGCAGGGCCACCCTCTTGGGCTAGCCCTTCTGCCAGCATCAGCAATTGCTCCACAACTGGTGCACCCTCTGACCTGCCATTCCATTTCCAGAAACAGACCTTCTGGAAAAGTTTGACATGTGCTTCCAGGTATAATTCTCCTGAAATGCCCAGCAATAGCAGAAACTTTGTATCTCTTGATGCAGCTGCTGGAAGTAGTTTTTATAAAGTCCTCTGGTTTACTTTTCACGGTTTCAGTATTTATGGGGGCGGGCAGCCTGAACTCTCACTGTTCTCTTGCCCAATCCCCACAAACTGAAGGCAGACGCATCCACCCAACCTGCATCTGCGGGCACGCACGCTCGGGCGGCACGACGCAGGGCGAGGGCCTGTCCTGTGGCCTGTTCCCATTCATTCTTCATGGCACCCGTGGGGGCATGTTCACAGTGAGAAGCCTCTATTGAAAGGAGGACCAGCTCTTGGCTGTACCCTCAGAACAAATACCATTGACCCGCCCCCCACACCCCTTCCAGGAGAGAGTCAGAAACCCACACGGGCAGTCCTGCTCTGCCCTATAGGTGGGTCACTGTGAGCCGGCCCTGACTCAGTGGCAGTGAGTTTTCAACTTTGATGAGTGCCATCATCCCTGCGTGAGGAACCCTGCTAGCCACCTCCGTCCACGGAGGAGACTGAGGGGCCATGGGACCTGCAGGTGTGTTTCCGGCTCAGCCTGACCTGCTCTGGGAGCTGCCGCTGAATTCCCAGGTGTCTTCCTCAGCGACGACTGTGTAACTAGAAGGGCACTGCGTTCTTTCCCGCAGGTCCCACGATGTGAAAAATGGAGGGGAGCTCACTCACTCCACCCACAGCCCGGGCCAGTCGTCCCCCCGGCCGGTCAACAGTCAGCGGGTGGTCAGCAATAAGCAGGCCGCGGCAGGGTTCATTGGCCCGCAGCTCCCTTCCCACGTGATTAAGGTAACGTGTTGTAGGTGGGACAGCCCCTTGTAAGTTGTACGCATCACAGCTCAGGCTCGAGTTCACCGTGCAGGCAGTGCCAGGTCTTCCTCTGCACAGGCTCACAGGCCTCAGCCTTGTGTGTACGACACACAGAGAACCCAAGCGCGAGTGTGGTGGTCAGGGAGAGTTTGGGTGTTTGCTGTCACCATTAGCCATCTATTTGATCCCACCTGCTGGTGACCTGGTGGCATAGTGGTTATGTGTTGGGCTGCTAACCGCAAGATCAGCAGTTCAAAACCACCAGCTACTCCTCGGGAGGGAAAAAAGGCTTTCTACTCCTGTCAAAAGTTACTGTCTCGGAAACCTGCAGGGCCAGTTCTACTCTGTCCCACAGGGTTACTGTCACCAGACTGGACTTGATGGAAGCTTTTTCGTTTGAGGGGTTCCATTTGTTTTGAATCAGGAGGTGCCTGGGCAACATTTGGATGGGGGCCATGATCCTGGGTTGGGAGCCTCTGGGGGCTGAGCAGGCAAGGTTCAGGGTTCTTGGTGGGGAGCAGCACAGGGGAGTCACTGCTGTTTCATTAGGCTCTTTGACTTTTTACGTGAATCAGTCCACGTTTAGGGCATTAAGTCATTCAGAGATTTAAGAAAACATAGTGAAGACCAGCTAGAATCCACCTCTGAGCCAGAGTTTTCTCCTGAGGTTCGACTTGGTCATTGGCCTTAGGTAAATACGCCCTGTCGTTGGGCGTGGGAAGCCTGCCAGGGTGGAGTGAGAGGCGAGGCTTGGAGGGCATGCTGGCCTTGGCCCCTTCTGTTTCTGCCTGCCTGTGACAGCTCTCCGGCTTCCTCCTGTACTGCCTTTCCACTCCCCCAACAAGCCTCCACCAAGTGGGGCGCCTGGCTTAGGGCTGTGCTTTAGTTCTCGCTCTGACAGACATTTGCCCGTCTTTCTGGATGAATCTCCCACGAGCATGACCTGGGAGACAGGTGGTGCTGGGGAGCCAGGTGAGAGAAAGGGCAGTTATTTCAGGGGATGGGAGCCGAGTCCCAGAGTCCAGCGTGTCGGGCCAGTGCCAGACTGGGGTATGCTTCTGTGACACTCACTGCCCCGGGACTCTGACCTGCCTGTGGTTTTCTTCTCTACAGAACCCGCCTCACTTGAACGGCACGGGGCCCCTGAAAGAAATGCCAAGCAGTTCCCTGTCGAGCCCTAATGGCAACCCCAGTGTGAGCAGGGCTGGTCCTGTGAATGCTTCCACTTCCGTTCAGAACTGGCCGGGCAACAGAGCCTCGGTGGTACCAGAGCACCCCAAGAAACAGAAAATCACCATCAGTATCCACAACAAGCTGCCCACTCGCCAAGGTCAGCCTCAACCCAGCCTCCATAACAGCTCTTTGGAGACCCCTTCCAAGCCCACCCCTTCCTCCACCGTCACCACCTCTTCCCCAGCACAGTCTACCTCGCACGCCTCTCCAGTGTCAGCCTCCAGTAAAGGCCCCGCACAGCTCAGCCCCGGCGAGCCTTGTCCTCAGCCCGTGGTGAATGGCAAGGCCAAGCTCAACGCCAGCGTCCTGGTCCCCTATGGCGCCGAGTCGTCCGAAGAGTCTGATGAGGAGTCCAAGGGCCTCAGCAAGGAAAACGGTCTGGGCCCGGCCGAGAGCGCACGGCCTTCTGCTAGGGACGCCGAGGATGATGCGGCCACACAGCATGGACTTCCGGTGACCCTTGCCCTCAACGGTGCTAGCAGTGCGGACAGCAACCCGAAAGAAAATGGCCTGCCTTTTGACGGTGCCGGCTGCCTCACCCTGCCCGCTCCGCTCTCAGACAACCCCTTTCCTAAGGCCAATGGTCTCCCCACAAAGGTGAGCATGCTGCGGGGGGCAGGTCCGATTGGAGGGTCTCCCTTGGGCTCATTGTGGGTGGCCCCAGATGAGACAGCCTGTGTTTTTCCTCGTTCTAGTTGATGCCTGCGCTTCTGCCTCCCCTCCTGGAAGATAACGTCCTAGAGACCTTCAAGCTCGGCCACCCAGTGAGAGGCTCCACGGAGGAGACGAGGTACAGCAAGGGGAGCTCCTGGACAGTGGGCCGCCCCGTGTGGAGCCCATCAATAGCTTTTTGATCCTGGAATGCTCAGGGCTAGCTCTCGTAACCCATTGTTGTCAAGTGGACACTGACTCCACAACGAGGGGACAGACAGCCTCTTCTTCCTTCCACCAAGTGGCTGGGCTGAACCCCGACCTGCTGATGAAGAGTCCAGCTAGCAGGCCACTGAGCCACAGGGTCCCTTGTGCTAGCTTATGTGATGACCCTCCGTGCTGCCAGGGACTCCTTGAAGAAGGGCTATCAAACTCAGATCTCTCTGCCATTGAGTCAGTGCTGACTCACAGTGACCCTGTAGACAAGAGTAAACTGCCCTGGTGGGTTTCTGAAGCTGTAACTCTTTACTGGAACACACAGCCTCATCTTTTGCCCTCAGAGTGGCTGCTGGGTTGAATTGTCGAACTTGGGATTCATAGCTGGTAACCCACTGTGCCATCAGGGCTTCTTTGAACAGTACCTATAGAGTTTCTTAATCTGTCTATTAGAAAAGTGAGTTGGAAACATGAGTCAAGTCCATGGAAATGGGGAAGTTCACCCTAAGGGTTTCTTCTCCTGCATTGCCTCCTCCTCACTGTCTGGGGTGGGCTGCATCAAGCAGACAGATGTCTGAAGGCAATGCTAAGGGTCTAGGGCTGGGTTCTCTAGTGCCTGCTGTGTTATTGTGAAATGAAGTTCATGAGCAGAACTTGTTGCCATGTTAATTTTTGAGAACTCTGTACTGACATCACGCACACCACCTTGGAAGGGAAGGGCACTTGTAAAGAGCCAGTAGTTGGTGTGTGGTGTCATTATGGGGGGCTGCACTACCCCAGACTCAGGGGCTCTCCCTCAGGCCCGGCTCCGTCTGCAGGAGGCAGTGTGGGGCAGTGCTTAGAGCCTGGTGCTCTGCAGGTGTGTGTTTCGTGACTTGAGTTCCACTGGCTCTGGGTTTACCCAGTGGTTCTGGACAAACATGGCCGATTAACGTTGTACAAACACTGTTGTGACCGGGGGTTCCCTCAAAGGCTGCCAGCAGTGTAAGGTGCAGGACACTAATTCATGATGGGGGGTGCCCTCTTCTGTGGGGGTCCCCCATCATTGTGGCAGCCCCCAAGCACTGCCCTCATTTCCAGACTGGTTCTTAGCTGGTGGGCCTGCCCTCCCTGAGTGCTGGAGTGAGGTGAACAGCAGGACGGGCAGCCCCCCGGCCCTGGGCTTACACACACGGGACCCTCGCTGTTTCCTTCCCAGTTGAGCCCGGTGTTCCGCAGACCCTGGATCCCGGACGGGGAGCTGACCAGCTCCTCAGCATCAATGGCATGGGTGTGCTTGGGCCAGGGGTCTCCCCTCTCAACAGTGAGGCCACTACAGGATGGTGACTGATTCCTGGCAGGGACCTGTTGTCCTGAGATGCTAGCAAAATCTCATGGGGTAGGCTCACTCCCTGCAGAAGGTCAGGAAAGGCTCACTCACTACAAAAAGTGCCTTTGGAAGGCCCGTGATTCCTCATAGTTTGTAGGAACTCTCAGACTCCAGGCAAGTTTAAAGGCGAAAAGAGTGCTTTGTTCAGCTCCCAGCTCTGTGTCACACACTGACTTGGAGGATTGCGCCGTAGTCTTCAGGAGGAGGACTGGGAAGCGCAGAACCGTGGGGGCTGGGAAACGGCATAGGAGACAGACGTGGTACAAAGCTTTGTATTTTTATCCAGTGAGGGAGAGAAAAAAAATCTGTTTGTAGTGATGACAGGGCCCACATTGGGCTGTAGCCGACATGTGGAGCAGGGGGATCTATTGGGACCTGGGGGTTTTGAAGGGCTGGTCTCTAAGCTGGCGACAAAGTGTCAGGAAGCAGACAAGCTAACTGCCTGCCTTTCTTCTTCCTCTGGGTGGGGGCTGCAGTGCGGCGGGCGTGGAGAAGAGCCCCACTGAGGTTCCTGATGGTGACGATGCCGAGGTGGCCAGCAGCAGCCCTCTGGGCCCCACTGAGACCCCAGAGGCAGCTCCGTGTCTCGGGAGCAAGTCCCAGAAATTGCCACCCATAAACTCGGAGCCCAGCTTCCAGTCCACCAAAGTCGCCACCCCTGCGATGCCACCGGAGCCTGTGCCGAGCACTGAGAGCCCCTTAGAGGACGGCCTGCACACTCAACCCTGTGACCCCGGGGACGTACCCGTGGATCAGGTGAAAGCACCCCAAGACACAAGCGGGACATCACTAGAGAGTTCTCAGGGCCCAGCGTTGGCAGACACTGCGGCCGAGGGGACACCAGCTCCTTCTCTGAGCCTTGATCACGAACGTGAGCATAAACTTGTGGTTTTCATCAGTCGCGAGAAATGCCGGGACCTGGAGGACCTCGCTAGCAGCTCTGGTGGGCCCCCCCGAGAACTGCCTTCCCTCCGGTTAGATCCACTCCCTGAACACCCCTCGGAGGGTGCCCCTGCACCAGGCACTGGTGTGCGGGGAGATGAGAACCAGGCTGGCCAGAGAGCCGCAGCCCGTTCTCCGGCCAAGGAGAAAATGGGCAGCCTCCGGAAAGTGGACCGGGGCCACTACCGGAACCACCGAGACCGCTCCTCCAGCGGTGAGTATGCCAGGGAGGGCAGGAGCAAGACGGAGGAGCGCGCCCCCAAGCTGCAGCGGCTCTCCCACACCCATGAGCGGCCCCGGCAGGACCGGCAGAAGGCTGAGCACTGCGGCGGGAGCCAGCAGTACCCAGCTCACAACGAGCGCCACTCCCTGGGCCGGCATGGCCACCCGCCCCCACGACTCCGGAGCGGCTCAGAGCAAGAGTGGGGTCGGTACCACCACTCGGAGAGTGAGCACTGCTGGGGCCGGGATAAGTCCTACCCAGAGAAAGCCCGGTGGGAGAAGTGTCGCTACTACCACGACCGGCACAGTCTGTCCTCGGCCCATGATGGCCGGGAACGGAAGGCCTTCCGAAGCGAGCGGGAGCACGGCCGCATGGCAGCCTACAGCAGCCGGCCCTGTGAGGACTACTATCGGGGCCGCAAGGGCCACAGGCTGCCGGACAAGGACAAGGACCGGCACCCCTTTGGCAGCCCCTGGGCAGGCCCACCCCACATGCTCCCACTCTACCCTGAGAAAGGCCCACTTGGCACAGAGGAGCTCGGCTGCCCGCTGCCCGTCCGCTTCCAGGAGCACAGCAAGTCTCGGAAGCGGCGGTATGGCAGTGTGGAGCTGGGTGGCAGCCACGCCGAGAGGAGAGACCGCAGGAGCCTGCCCAAGGAGCCCCTGGAGGAGCCGAAGGTGAAGAAGCACAGGAAGTCCAAGAAGAAGAAGAAATCCAAAGACAAACACCGCGATCGGGACTCCAGGTAGGGCTCGGGGCTCGGGGTGGACACAGGCTGAGGGAAGGGACAGGATGAGTGAGGGATGGCCGCAGCGCACCTGTGACTACTTGGCTGCTGCTTCATTTGGGGTGTTGAGATTTCACAGCTGGAACAGGTGTCTGAAGCTCAGCTGAGCGGTCCTACCCCAGCTCACCTGGTGCCTGGCTGACCACTGCCCGCTGCAGCTGCTACCACGAGGCACAAGCCCACTTCTGGGCCTGGCAGCAGTGCTGGCCCATGGTCTGCCCAGTGCAGCCAGAAGTGGTGCTGGCCCCAGGCCACAGGTTCCCCATAGGATCTGGCCTACTGCCCCCTTTTCAGAAGAAAAATAACTCCCGTCTCCCCTTGGCCACTAGAAACATGTGTCCTGTCGTCCATCACCCAGGATGAAGTGTAGGCATCTGCTTTGGCAGCCCCCTTGGATCATGCCAGTCAGTGCTCCTCTGCCGACCCCCCACCCCCGGCGTGATACCACCCACTTTGAGGAACACTGCTCTAGGCTTATAGTGTGTGAAATGTGCAAAAACATGGGCATGTGTGCGTGTGACCCTAGGGGGACGTGGACACACAGAGCCAAGGCTGTTGGAGAGATGGTGCCAGCAGCCGTGCTCCAGGGAGGTGGTGTGAGACATGGGACCAAACCAACTCCATGCCACCGAGTCGATGCTGATTCACAGCGACCCTCTGGGGCAGGGTAGGACTGCTCCTGTGGGTCTCTCCCCAGAAGCTGCTGTTGGTTTAAACAGCTGACCTTGAGTGAGCGGTCCAGCGCCCTCCTTCCTGCTAGTGTGTTTGCTGCTCGGTGGTCAGGCTTTGACTAGAGGTCTCGCTCTCCTTCCCCAGATGGGGTGGTGCTCCCCGCCCCAGCCCCAGGGGCTGTCAGTGGCAGGAGATGGGCCCACACCCCCTTGGCCTCCATCTCCCTTGGTCAGTCGGAAACCCATGTGTAGGTGACTGCTGACAAGCGACAGAAGGGCCCTGGTCTCACTGGCAGCTCTTCACCTGGGAGCCCTGGGAAGCACTGCCCGAGTCCTGTGTAAACACAGGACAACTTGCAGGCGGAGGAGACACCCCCAAACCCCGCCCAAGAGGCTTGAGAGACCTGGGGGGTGCAAGTGAAGAGCTAGGGGGGGCGGGTCTGAAGCTCAAGGAGGAGGGTGTGACTGGAGCAGGCCTGCAATGGCAACGGCCTGTTTTCCCATCCTGTGCAGTTTTCCCGGTGTGTCCCCCGCTCACAGTGCTGTTCTGGGCATTCTCTCCACAGGCACCAGCAGGACTCAGACTTCTCGGCCGCGGGCTCCGACGCCGACCTCCACAGACACAAGAAGAAGAAGAAGAAAAAGAAGAGGCACTCACGGAAGTCAGAGGACTTTGTTAGGGAGTCTGAACCCCACCTGCCCAAGGTCCCCACCTCTGAGACTGCGGACTCTGTGCGGAGGGCCCAGGGCAGCTGCCCGCTCCCTGCCAGCCTGCCTCTGGAGGGCCTGGGACCCAGCCGAGAGAAGACGAGACACCTGCGGGTGGAAGGCCGGGATGACAAGGGTCGTCTCTCTGAGTGCGGCCAGGGTAAGAGTTCAGAGCAGAGAAAATCTCTGTCTCATGAAAAGTAAAATAGTTATGAAGGCAATTGACCAGGGACAAAATCCACAAAGGATGTGGAAGGGCACAATGTGTGAGAGTCCCCGCCCCCACTGAGACTGCACTGCATTGTGACAGGTTGAGTGTGGACACTGGTCACTGGACTCTGGGACCCCCGGTGTTTCCCCTTTAAGGGCCAGGAAACCCCCTGCCAGTAAGTGGGTTCCGACTCCTAGCGACTCTGACACAGAGGAGGGTGGCCCCTCGGGGTTTCCAAGGCCCAGAGCTGACTGCCACCTCTCCCCCACAGGGCGCCGGGTGGGGTCAGGCCACCAGCCTTAAGCTGAGCAGGTGACCACCATGCCAGCCAGGTGCTTCCTTTAAGGCGAGAATGCGTCACAGCATTTTTGCTCAAAATGTTCTTGGTTCTGGCGTTGAGTGGGGTCTCGACTGACTCCTTGGAAGCGTTAGTTCTCGGCCTGGGCTGTGGTGGGGCTTGGGTTCCTGCTCCACGTCTGCTGTCCCCCGCCCCTTCCCTACTTTCAAATCTGCCATCAAGGACTCTTGACCCTGGCCAGGCAGCGAGTGCTGGACACGCTTGGAGGCTAGTCAGCCTGCCTTGGGCCTGGGCTCAGCCTGCCAGCTTGTTTCCAGCGTCTGTGTTGAGAAACATGTGCCTCAACAGTGTCCGCACCTGAATTGCAGGACTTAGCAGTGAGGCCCCCACCCTGGCTGGCCTTTTCCAGATGACCTCACTACCCCACACACAGACTCCCCCACCCCTCTTCTTCCCACCCCGACACCCACTGGGTTTCTGTACATTTACCTGTTTGTTAGGTGGGGGTGGGGTTTCACAGCACGTGTGTGTGACTGCTCGCTCCTTGGGCGTGAAGTTTCCAAGGTGCAGCTCATGTGACGGGCTTCCCGCCACAGTGCTGTGGAGGGATGGACCAGCTTCTGCTGTGCCATCTCAGTGGACGTCAGTGGCCTGCCTTCTGGCTGTGTGAGAAGGCGAGGGTGCCTGAAGTGTGCAGGTTCCTGGTGCTGCCCCAGTGGGTCTCAGGCTGCCGTGTCACTTGTAGTTCTGGCTTCCACTGGTACCAAAGGCTGCTTGGTTTGTAGCCAGGCCTGCCCTGTCTCCCCTCCTCAAAGGAGACCCTTCCCATTGGACGGAAGACAGACATCCTTTCCTGACAGTCTTGCGTCTCTTGCCCCCTGCCTTGCCTTCTGTCCCTTCCACCTTTGTCAGTCGCCTCGAGCTCGCAGTCTGGTGCTTGTGGTGTTGGCCTTTCTGATGGAGCTGCAGGTGCATCCTTCTCACATGGTCCCTCACCTACTAGGTGAGCGCGCTGTTTTTGCAAGGCACTTGGAAAAGTTGCTCACTGACCCGGCCTGTTCTCAGCACACTCCAGAGCACAGGTGTGGAATGTAAACATTTAAATATGCACACAAAATTGTACAAAATCTTTAAACTGTGTCCTAACCTTTGTTTTCTAGGTGATTGAAAACTCTGGCCTAAAAATAATTCGATAGTTATGGTAAGCTGTTTTCATATTTTGTGTGTGTGTGTGTGTGTGTGTGTGTGTGTGTGTGTGTGAGAGAGGGAGAGAGAGAGAGATGCTTACTGACAGGGCTGATAAAGGACTTGGAGAACAGAGTTCACGTGGAAAGAAATGTTAGGGTGCTATCGCCTGGCTGAGGAGCTGGGTGAAGGGGGAGTGCAGGTTGGGCAGAGCAGTGGGGAACCTGTCCACAGTGCATCTGTTCTGTCCCCAGAAAACTTAGGGCCAGTTCTCACCCCGTGCCCGGCCTGAGCTCTCCCGGCATTGCCAGGATGGAGTCTGCCCTCAGCAGGAGACGGGCAGGCACACTCCCGCCTGAGGAGTCAGGGGGGGGTCATTTGATAATTGGCGAACCCCAGCTCCAGGGCCAGGCCTGGGGGCAGAAGGAGGTGGTGATCTCTGCTCTCCCCTCGTGTCCCTCTGCTTCTGGACATGTGGCCTGGCCACCCTGAGGTGAGCCCCACTTACGAGCACTGGGTGGCAGTGTGCCAGGCAACGGCACTGACCCCACACGCAGGGTTGTCCTGGAGGCCAGGGGAACAGCTATGCTGTTTGAGGGGCGGTGCCTCATGGATGGACACTGCAGTCTCCTTCAAGGAGACCGGGACTTTATTCTGTGGCCCAGGAAGATGGCCATCCATGCTCTTCCCCTGTACTTTCTGCGGCCAGGCCAGGGAGACAGTAGGGACCCCTACTGCCCTTGAGCAGATCTTGCTCAACTGTGTCCATTAGAAAGCAATGGTGTTTGGATAAATTTTGAGTTTTCTCCTGATGATTAATCTGCAGTATGCGAACCTGCTTCCTGCCTGTACCCACAGGAAAGAGACCTAAGCCTCTTAGTGGGGAATCCCAGGCGTCAGGCAGAGGTGGAGCCCAGGGACCAACTTGGGCGCAGGCGCAGGCAACCCCCTAAGGTCTTCTGCTCGAGCCGCCTCCCCCGAGTGGCTAATGCCGCTGCCTCTTGCCTTTCAGATTCAACGTGTTCAACAGAAGCCATCCCCAACCCAGCTTAAATTATAAACATAGAAAATAACCTTGTTCAAATCTGCGTGGTGCTTCTTTAGTAAATACTGTACAGGTTTTACCATGAACTTTTTTTTCAGTTTTTACGTTTTCTTAATTGCCCCGATCCCAAATGGATGAACACTTTCTACGACTGCTGACCATTGTAAATGCCGTGTATGTGAATCACCTTGAAGCTAATGCCCTGGACTAGAACATCTCAAATGCTGCTTACTTACAGACTCAGGTTGACTCCTCGTCGTTCATGTCTCGTTCCTCCCAGCTGGACACCTGGTCCATGCCCAGCCAGGCCACCGTGGGATCATCACAGAACCGCCGCTGGCAGTGGGCGTCTTGACGTTAGAAGACCTATCTGAGAGAAGCACAGCTCTCGGCCAGACCGTTGAGAGCCGTCTGTGCTCTGTCATGTCCAATACCAGAACCAATTTGCTCCCTATTTTAGTTGTATTCAAGATTTGAAGATGTATTTTATAGACAAGTTCTGTTTTTGAACTTTGTGGAACTATTCCAATCAATTTACCAGTTATGATGAGTATTTACATTATGAATGTATAACCCAGACGTTATTTGTAAAGCCCACAGTATGTTTTTATTACTGAACCCTTTTTGATACAGTGTCTCTTGTCTCGACTCTATGGTACAGGCGGCCGAGGCTTCCACTTGGTCCCTTCACGTTCCTAGTTACAGACAAATCCATACTGTGATTTTATTTTTAATATGGATATGCTATCCAACTGTGATACACTTATAATCCACTGGTCCTGCATCAGGAGATGGCGTGGGGAAAACTGTATGTGATACAGTTCGTTATCTGAATAATCTCTATGGTTTATACCGTTTGCGTTGTTCAGAGATGTCTCAAGTTTGATCTTTGTTTTTTTAAAGATTAAAAAGCACTTGCCCCACTGTAAATATACAGCATGTAAAATTTATATAGTATATAAATGGCAGCAAATTAAACATTGTCAGTCGCCTCTTTTCCCGGCCTTCCCCCAGTCCTCGTCCGAGGCCACCCCACGCAGCGTCTCAGCTTCAAAGAACCCAGCCTGAGCCAGTCTCGTTCAGCAGTACATGGGTTATTTATTGAGTGAGCACAGTATTTGCCAGCGTCTTTACAGCACACCCCTTCCGGTTTTACCAACCACGGACTCCGACAAGATACAAAGTACAGAGGATTTCTTCATGCAAGTTGTGGAAGTATATACACGAAGGAACAAACATTACAGAAATTCCTATCTATGTACATTATATACATACGACATTTACTGTCAATAGAAATGTTTTCTAAGGAGAGAAAAAAGCACAACTCGTAGTTTCTGGTCTACAGTAGACCCGTAGCCCAGCCAGCACATCCATGCAGATCTCAGCACCTGGCCTGTGCAGGATGCACTGCGGGCTCAGCACTCAGTGCTGCTTCATGGTACAGAGCTCCTGTTGAGTGCACCATGTCTCACCCCCCCTTCCCCCAAACGCAACAAAACCACCACCTGGCCCTGCAACATGGGCATCTGTCTGGGGCCCAGGGTCAGTCCACTCAGCCTCAGGATGGGGCTCAGGCCAGAGTGCTGGTGGATGCCAAAGGCCCCCCACCCCCATTTTCTGTGCCTCTGGAGGCAGCCGTGTCTCTGGCCAGAGGTGGAACTGCTACCTGGAGCACTGAGCTGCGAAGCTAGGTGGGAAGGATGGATGACCGATCAGGCTGGAGTCGGGCAAGCAAGCCAGGCTGCCCACGTGAGGAGACAAGGCGGCTGCCCTGGCCAGGAGAGTGTTCCGGAGCCAAGACAGCTGTGGGCCCACCACGCAAACACCTGCCAGTTCACGAGGCCTGGGGTACTGGACGGTGTGTCACCAGCTGGAAGCACTGCGTGTCCTGTCTGCAGAGCTCTATCAGCAGCCTTGGCCAGGAATGAGCCCTCAGACGGCCACAGCAGAGACACCAACCGCCACCCCTACCCAGGCCCCCCAGCTCCTGCTTCCCAGCACCTCTCTGAGGCTACAGTCCAAACACAATAGCCTGTGCTGGGGCACGTCTGAGGGGGTGGGGGGAAGCGGGAAATGAGAGTGGTCGCCCTGGGTTCGAAACAGACTGAGCAACCCCTCACCTTGCCCTGGCTGTGAAAGCCTGTCTGATGTGGAAGACGGGAGCAGAGTTGCATAATTCCAGTCAGGCCCATTGAGAACGCCGACTACTGCCTTCTCAAAACCAAAGGTGCAGATTTGAGGTATTGGTACAATCGCCAAGACCTAAAAGCCTGGGATGACACCAACAGAAGTGGGTTTGATGAGTGGGGGTGGGGGGTTACGGGCTGGGAGCCCCTTCGCAGTCTCAGTTGACTTCATGTGCTCGGAGACAGAGGGGCCGCCCCTTGGGCTGAGCATCAAGGTCGTGCAGAGGGCAGGCGGTCACCGACCCTGGTGCCAAAGCCTCTTGTGCCAGTTACAGCATGGGGGGGGGGTGCCTTCAAGGCTGTGGCCCTGTCACCCAGCCCTTCCTGAAGCTCCAAAGCACCACTTGGCACCCCACGTCGGGGCTGAGCCCGCTCACTGCACCCACCACTCTGTACTTTCTTGGCCGACTCCGGCGGGCTCCGAGCTGGCTTGGTCTAGACCAGGGCTGCGTTTTAGACGTCGCCCTTGGCTTGTCGTTTGCTCTCGGCCTCTGTAGAGGGGAGGCGAGGTCTCAGAAAACATGGTCGAGGCTAGTTGAGCACGGCTTATCGCTGTAAGCCGCTCCAGGGTCGATCACGACCTGAGCAAATTCGGTCATGTTATGGCAAGGTCAGGAAATGAGGGCTTGAGAGAGAGAGAGAGGCATGTGGTCCACAGCCAGCCAGCCAGCCTGACCCATGTCAGGCTGATGTGTGCATGGTCTCAACCACACGGCAGTTGTGTGTCCAGGGAAAAAGCCCGAGGGGTGGGGTGCGGCCACCCTGCTTGGAAACATAATTGGTACTTCATGATTTGCTTTCCAGAAAGTGTTTGCAAAGAGGAATTTGTGGGGGCAAGAAAGTCAAGAGTGGCCCCAGGCGGTATCACACATCGGGCCGTTCCCCCATCCCCAAGTGCTTGTGACCCCCCAAGAACCCCTAAGGGCCCCTCCCTACTTGATGATAGCAGGCGAGTCTGGCACCAGCCGGTTGGCACCAACTCCTCCCTTGCCAGACCCCTCTGGGTGCTGCATATATATTTTCTCAGTGCACAGCATCTGCTGTGTCCAGGAGTTAAATTTATAGCTGCCAGTCTAAAAATACTACTGTTAGAAAGTAAGTATCTTTCATTATAATTTCAGAATATAAAAAGGCATATAAAAGCTATAATCCTATATATCTGAGGAAAAAATTCTGAATAAAAAAAGTGGTAGCTCTTCCTTTCCTGTGTTGCTATAAAATGGTGGCTTCTGGCACAGCTAGTGTGTGGGCGTGGCTGGTGGCAGCCTGGTCCCCGACCGTCCGTCCATCCGTCTGTCCATCATCACCATTGCGGTCCTCGTGCAGCAATTCTGGCTGACCCCGACCCGAAGATCAGCAGGAAGGGAGAACACTCTGGACACCCACCCATGGCGATGGTCCCAGGCTGCCATCGCCCTCCTTGGTCTCTGCGCGCAGCCTGGTCCCCGGCCCCCACTGTCTCTTCCTCGGAGGCCCGAGCCCGGCACAGAAACCAGGGCCTCGGCAAGTCTTCTGGGGGACAAGGGATACCACCCTCGAGCCCCGAGGCCGTGCATTGGGTGGTGCCAGAGGACGTCCCAGGAGGGTGCAGCGGCCACTTTTTCTGCTATGGGGTTTTGGCTTCTCTTTCACCTGGGAGCCAGGGAAGCGCCTATTTTTTATTGGCAATCCTCCTTTTCCTCGTGGCCAACATGTCGTAGAAAGGATCCCGGCTGATGCTCGCTCTGGTGAGAGGGGGGAGTCAGGCTCAGGGCCTCGCAGGCAGGTAGCTCCCCCGGCAGGTGCCCGGGCACCTGCACTCACCTGATGGACTTGATCCACTCCTCCTTCTCCTCGGGGGTCGGTGCAGAGATCCGGTACACCACGTGGTTCCCCTCCACCACGCGCCCGTCCGCTTCCGTCTTGCAGGCTTTGATCACCTGCCCTTTGTGGCTTGGATTATATAGCTCGAAACAGTTCTGGCAGGGAGAGACACAGAGGACATGTCAGCCAGGGCCACGCCGCGTCCAGCCGCTTGTCCTCCAACTCGCAGCGGGGGTGGGGTGGGGGGGTGTCTGGCATCTTACTGGTTTCCGGGGGTCTTCCACCTCACGGATGCTGAGGTTCTCCAGCGGGATGATCCCCCGGGGCTCCTTATCCTACGGGGGAGAAGGCACGTCCAGGTCCATACTTGGGCCACGGGCCCGGCCCTGCCCTCGCTTACCGTTGTGTACTCAAAGTAGTAGAGACAGTTGTCCGTCAGGATGAACCACCGCCGCTTCCACGTCTTCACTCGGCCCCCTGCAGACAGAAGGGCCCCATGAGTCGGGCAGTGGGGCCGGATGAGTGCCCAGGCCTGACCGCATTGGGGGACCCTGGGAGTTACACACAAAGTTGCTGACTTTGGGGGGATGTCACCAGGAAACGAGCCTGGGTCTAAGCTTAGCTCCTGGGCCAACGCTCCACAGTCTGACGGATCGTCAGAAGGCTGGAGCCAAGCCCTGCTGGCTTGGAGGGCAAGGCGACTGGGCTCCCGATGCCAGCAGCTGGAAAACCGGGTGACAGCGCAGTGCCAGCCCCTGTGCATGCACCCACAGATGCCCTGGGTAATTCCATCATCGCTTCCCGGCAGTCAGTCATGATGGATGGTTTTCCCTTCCCCATGTGGAGAGGACCACAGGATGCAGCCATGGCTGCCCGCCCAGCTCTGTTGTGGCTTGATCTGGTTACGCCGGGTTGTTATCGCATTATGGGATACTTGGGGCAGCCCTGGGATCCATCACAATCAATTACCCTTCGCCCAGGGAATGACTGGACTGAACAAATCTCGTGAAGAGACCCAGCGTGTACAGGGATGCATCTCACCCAGCTCCTGACAGACTCCTTCAACGAAGGACAAGGAGCGGAGACAGCCACACTGAGAAGCAGGGTTGTTTTACTTCCCCAGTTGAGAAAAACACACTGTGGGCAACACAGGCAGGGGCCCCAGGCTACAAGGTGGACAATAACTCCCCAGGGCCTGGGGCACCGCAGGTGGGTAGTCTATCAGGCGAGGGTCTGTCCTCAACGCCAGGTCCAAGCCTCTCCCCACAGAGACCATGAGTCAGTGCGGTCTGTCTGGGGCAGCGGGCTCTGTCGAGGGGAGGGGAAGAGGGCAGTGATTAGAGGGGAGGCATAGGGTGGGTGTGGAGGTGAGAGATGGTTTAGGGTGAGGCCTGGTGGCATGAGATGCAGTGCACTGTGGTACAGAGAGGGGAGGGGAGGGAGGAGGTGCGAGGGGCCAAGAGGTGAGGGGTGGGGAGAAGTATGGGGTCAGGGACACTCAGGAAGCCACACGGTGCTGAGGGGGACAGGACTGTGGAAGGTCTGCTGTGAGGGCCACGTAACATAACAAAGGGACCCTCTAGGTGGGACCCCTGGAAGCCCAATGTCATTCCAGAGCTGGGGGACTCCTGCGGCCTGTGGCAGGGCTTTGATTTAAAGAGTAGGGGGGCCAGGAGGCGGACACTAGAGGAGAAACCCCAGCAGGGCTGTGGGTGGTGGAACCCTGTGGCCCCAGGCAGCCCTGCCCTGCCTCGAAGCTCAAACCCAGTGAGGCCCAGCGTGTCACTCTAAAGTCCAGGGGGCTCTGGCATCACCGTGTCTGTCCACCTTGCCATCTGTGGGCACCAGCTTGGTGTCCCTGTGCCTGATCCCCAGGAACATGAGGAGAAGCATCAGCCACACTGTGCACGCCCTGGCTCTACAGCCCGCTCTGGTGGAAGGAACCCCCCTTTCTTGAATGTTCTTCCTGCCCTGCCTGACTTGTCTGCCTCCCTTGCCCCTGCCCAGTCTCCCACCTCCACCTGGGCTGCCCCACACTCTGTCCCGAGCAGCCTCACTGGGGCTCTCGCTAGGTGTCTCCATGGGGCAGGGGGGAATTGTCTTCAGCCTGCTGGCCTGTCCATTCTCCCAAGACCCAGTGCTGGCCTGGTGTTCCTGGCCACCCTGTGCCTTGCACTGGCTGTCTCTTAGGGACGGTACTAGGGACCCAGGAGTCCCTCAAGGCAGCTCAGTCTTGTCCCCAATCTGCACACGCCAGGCATCTGGAGTCCACGAGAAAAGGACGCAGTTGGTGGCGTCCCAGGTCCTCCCTGAGCCCGAGAGTCTGGCCAGAAGGGAGGCTGTCTCACGGTGGCCTCAAGACACCTCCCCCCATCTTGTCCTGCAACTGTCCCTCACACCTCCTTCAGCACCCCATTTCCAAATACTTCCTTCCTGGGTGCTGACAGGCCCAGGGTTCCCTCTCTGGCCTCAGCACCAGGCAGCTTTTGGCAGGGAAAATTGGCCAAGGGACTCCCAGCTTGAGGTCCCCTAGGACACCCCAGTTCTCAGTACGACTCAAACTCCCAAAGCCTTCAAGGCCTGCTCCCAGCACTTGCCTTCTACTCAGCCTCCAGCACATTGTTGGGGCTCCCCTGGTTTTGTCCCTGGGCTCCGCCCCACACCTGTCACCACGCCTGCTTTGTGGAGCTGGCCAGTGGGCTCTCCTGGGGGGCAAGCTGTCCTGATGGACGTCACACTTCACCTTCGACAAGTTGCACCTTCCTCCACCCTTGCTGTCTCTGGGTGGCAGCGCCCAGGGTTCTCCAAGCTGCTGGGCCACGGTCTTGGTGCAGCCCGTGAGACAGTGCCGTTGAGCACACAGGCTGCTGGGCCAGACGGAGGTCCAGGAGGACACAGGTCCAGTAGGCAGCCTGTGGCCCAGGGGCCCTTGGCCAGCTCGGTTGTTGGCAGCAGGGTTGGTGGCAATGCTGACAGCGCAGCTGGCTCGATCAAGGGCAATGTAGCCAAGAGGAATTACCAAAACCCGAATGAAGGCCAAACATGATGGCGGGGAGGAAAGTAAAAGGAAATAAAGAACTAGGCGGCAAAGGACATTTATATAGGTCTAAATACAAGCATGTATATATGTAAATACATTTATATAGAATGATAAGAGAAAAGATCTATGTATGTATGTTTATTTATAAAGTATTACTGCAGCAGTGGGACATTGGGCCTCCACTCAAGTACTCCCTCAATGCAAGAACACTTTGTTCTACTAACACAGAATTCTGTGATGCTCACCTTCCCGGACACGATCGCTGAAGACAAAGCAGGTGCATAAGCAAATGTGATGAAGAAAGCTGATGGTGCCTGGCTATCAAAAGAGATATAGCATTTGGGGTCTTAGAGGCTTGAAGATAAACAAGCAGCCATTTAGCTGAAAAGCAACAAAGCCCACATGGAAGAAACACACCAGCCTGTGTGATCATGAGGTGTTCATGGAATTGGGTATCAGGCATCCAAGACACACAACAAAACAAAACAAAAAACAAAAATCAAATTGATGTGAATAAGGGGAAGGGCAGAGTGGAGACCCAAAGCCCATCAGTAGTCAATTAGACACCCTATCAGAAGGGACACAAGGAAGAAACAAGCCAGTCAGGGTGCAGTATAGCACCGACGAAACACATCACCTCCCACTAGTTCTTTAATGCTCCTCCCCACCACTATCATGATCCTGATTCTACTTTACAAATCCCGCTAGACCAGAACATGTACACGGATACAGTAAGCGCTTGCAACACAGGGAATCCAGGACAGATGAACCCCTCAGGGCCAATAAGGGGAGTCGTGACACTAGGAGGGTAAGGGAAAGGGGGGGGGGAGCAAGGGGGAACCAATCACAATAATCAACATATAACCCCCTACCAGGGGGGATGGACAACAGTGAAGTGGGTGAGGGGAGATAGTGGTCATGAAAAAAATACATAAATTATCAAGGGTTTATGGGGGAGGGAGGGAAAAAATGAGGAGCTGATACCAAGGGCGCGAGTAGAAAGAAAATGCTTTGAAAAAGATGATGGCAACTTATGTACAAATGTGCTTGTATGGCTGTATGTATGGATCGTGGTAAGAGCTGTAAGAGTCCCGGTAAAATACAATTTAGAAAGAAGGGGCAACCTAGGTCTTTTTCTGAACGACCCTCAGTGATGCCGGCAACGCCAAGGGAGAGCGGGTGGCTCAGGGCACAGAGAGTGCACAGGGGGAGGACGAGGGAGAGCAAACAAGGTCACAGAACGAAGGCTGCAGATTCCCAGCCACCACAGAGTCCAGCGGCCACAAACCAAGGATCACAAAGGGAACCAGGAGCTCGCCGACGTGCCACCAGAGGGCGCCCACAGCCACGCGGAGCCAAGGGAGGCACCCCACTCCTGTCCCCTGGGCGAGCACCTGCCTGCCCCAGGTCACAAAGTCTGGGTTGGCTTGGGGCAGCACGGCCTCCAGGGCCCACAGCTTTCGGAACGAGGTTTCCAGGGTGAAATCCGGATTCTTCTCAAGGGGGCACCCACCAGGGAAAGGCCAGGAGAGCAAAGGCCAGCAGGGAGACTCCTAAACTGGAAGGAGCGCCCCAGCCCTGCTCACACCCTCCCAGCCCCAGCACGGCTCTATCATCTCCTCCTTGCTAGAAGGCCTCCAGAGTCCTCCCTGCCCACCCCTCTCTTGTGCTCATAAGGCACCCGGGGAGGGGCTACACACGGGCTGGATGTCAGGAGGAAGGGCCACAGGTCCTGCTGTTGAAACGGACCCAGGAAACTCCCTCAGCTGCAGAGTGCACCAGGGAGCCAACAGGGCCTGGCGTCTGCTCACCGAGTTTAACGGAGGCAGCTGGCCACACGTAGTCCAGCACCCTAGAGAACCACAGGGTCCCAGCTGTCCCCATTCAGCATGCCGTGCGCTTCCGGCATGAGACATGAGCAGCAGAGGAGGCAGGGGCAGGGAGCCCCCGGGTACGTACCTCCTAGCGCAGGACAAGCAGGGGAGCCCGTCACAGAACAGAAAGGTGGGAGCCACAGGCAGAAGGAAACAAGAAGGCACAGTTTCAACCACGCGTTCACGTCACAGCCCGGAGGGAGAGGTGGTAGAGGTCCCTGCAGGGGTGTGTGTGCTGGCTTCGGGGGTGGGCAGAGGCTCGCTTGGATGTTGTCTGCGCTGAACCTTGGGGAGGGGTGGGCAGCGAGGCGCCCGCCTGCCCTGCCCCTCAGGCTGCACTAGGAGGAGCTGAGGGTTCTGGCACTCACCCAGCTTCAGGAGCCAGCCCTCGCGGTCGGGGTTGAAGAAGGTGTGCGTCAGATCGTTCCCGTCGTCCTCTGGGATCTTGAAGGGCTCGTTCTTGATACTCTCGTACAGATTCTGCTCAGAGGGGAGGGGGGGAGGGCACTGCAGAGCGGGGTTCACTCAGACCAGGAGGAAGGGGCAGGCCGGCCTTAAGAAGGCCAGAGGTTCTGAGCTAACCCAATGGTCAAGGAGAGAGACCCCGCCTGCGGAAACCCAGTCTGAGAGCCAGGGGAGGGCGCTGGGTCATGGGGGGCCACTCACTCGCAGCAGCTCCTCAGGAAGATCCCCGCCCTCGTTGATGCCGCGGTTCATGCTGATGAAGCGCTCAGCCGTGGGCTTGTCACGCACGTTGTGGTTGTGCAGGCTCGTGTTGAGCATGATGATGGCGAAGGAGAGCACATAGCAGGTGTCTACGGCACAGGGGCACGG